TTTCCATTATATAGAGCGCGACTCAACGCTCACAGATGGCTCTTGGAGCGAGCAGTCATCCAACGTATCCGACAACACTGTCCAGAATCGACGCCTGCTACCACCCCGCCCTGAACCACCACCGCGGTACCAATCTACACCTCGTCTGGCACCTAGCCGTTCAAATCCAAATCTGCAAAGCTACCAGACTGGTGGAATGGCTGTCCCCACTCCCTCAATCCCCTATCGAGGAACTCTGGGTACCGGTACCCAAAGATCACTTGTAGATCTCTATAATCCTCTCACTGAGTCCCCAGGACGAGCGAGAAAACCCGTGATTGAAACTGCTATGTGATACTCATCTGTTAACTTTAATATTACTTCCGTTGCTGTATTGTTATTGTTTACAAATTTTCTGTGCACGAATGACTGTTGCGCATTTTTGTTGCAATCTTTTCATATAAACATTGCCTTACGAAGCTCATATCACTCACTATCACTGCGTCTTTACGATGTACTCAGGGTATTAGCCTTTATCTCTTACGTCTTCTAGTTTGTGATGATGGCATTTCTCCTTTCTTGCCGACGAAAGCATTTCACTTAGTTCTGTGATTTCTGCTGCAGCTACATGGTTGCTCATTTGTTTTTGTCTATAGTTGTCAAACTAGTGTGTTAAATAATTCCTTCAATAGTGGAAAAAACACGCAAACGAGTGCAGCTGGCCTCAAAATCGTTATTTCTGATGAAAAACTGCTCGAGAATGTTTTATGTCTGGTTGTGCATGAGATCGTCGCATCTTTGAAATTGTTCTAAACTTTCAAAGGACGTGTTATGGTCAGTCGCATGCTCGCTTTTTTTCCAGGACTTTTTTTCCGAAACAGTATATTTCATGTGCATCGGTTGCAAGAAAAATTTTGAAAGAACAATATATACTCGCTTATCTGCAAAGTGGATTTAGGTGCCGGCGAAATTACATTCTACATCCTAATTTAAGAAATGCAAGTGCGAATCAGACGAAGTACGTATCTAGCGCGCTATACGCCAAGAGAGCATTTTGACGTTTCGTTTGTTTGTTTGGGTACGTACTATACAACCACAGCATTTATATTTTTAATCTACGAGAAATCTACAAACTTTTAATATGTCATTGACGACCGCGCAATCCGGGTCAGTCACGCATTTCTGATTCTGATCGCATGTTTCGCATTTTGAGTTTTCAGAGATTTTGAATGTATTTAACAGATGCACAGTTGCATTACCTTTAAATGAACCAGTGCAAGCAGTGTCAATAAGAAATCAACGAGAAATCGCATTGATCCCATGCGGCAGACACGTGAATAATGCGCGGTCGTCAATGGGGTGTATGCCTATGAATTCACTGGACGA